TTACATGGATTTTTGGTGCTCGATATACTTGTCACATAACGTTCGAAACTTTTTTGGGTGGCGATTTTACCCCGGTCTATATGATTGGTGTGAAATTCTATACTTATTAACAATTTAAATATGCTTATAAGATATTAGTTTTAAGTTTTTTTATAGCAACTTGTCTTAAGATACTATTAATGTTCATTAGTTTTAAGTTTAAATATTAAGTTATAAGATGTAATTGGTAAAATCTGAATAAAATAAATAATATTATTATTAAATTGGCAAACAAAAAAATAATTATTTTATTATATTTTAATTTCAAATATAGTTTTAAACTTTTGATATAATACAATATACTTACATTTAAAAAATTATATATATAATTTTTTATATGTATTTTAATACTAAGAAGCCTCTGTAATATGAACTAGAATTTTTAATAGATTCCGAAATATTCCGAAAACTCATAAGAGATTCCGACAAATTCCTATGCGCATGAAATTTGAAAAAATCGGAATTTGCTCATCACTAAAGACTCTATAGTCAAAAATAAGATCTAATTCTCGTCCGTTTAAAAAAATTAGCTTAGTAATAAGTTGATTTTATCAGGTTTTGAGAAGTTATTACTATACTAACTTTTTTAAACGGACGAGAATTAGATCTTATTTTGGCTATGAAGTCCTACAGCTCTAATGAAACCTTCTATACAGCTTTTTTTATTTCACTATGATTAGTTTTCGTTTTTTTTTAAAAAGTACTCTAAACTGTATAAATAATGTAATATTAAATTGAATTTATTAGCCAATCAAATGAACTTCTGCCTATGAGATAGTATCGGTCACACGGTCAGTCCAGTCAGTCAGGATTTGTGACCGAACCGGTATCGGTCACGGTCATGACCGGTCATGACCGAAACGTTGACATCCCTAGTAAAGACCTAATGCTGTGATGACAACTTTAAAAATATGAAGACAAATCAATTTAATGAAAGATATGGCTTGTCACTTTCCAATTGGCATATAAAAATAATAAACGGTTCTAAAAAATCATGTAGTTTTTTAAGATCCATCCAAAATCCATAATCCAAAATCGTTTCTTTAACATTATCGTTTATTTCAATGCTATCCTCTGCTAATACAGCATATATTGCAGACCGTGCTCGCAGAACATGATCAAGACATTCATAAGAAGAACTCATTAAATTAGCAATGGAATCCTTAAACAAAAAAGAATTAGAATTCGTTAATTTGATTTATTACTGCTATATAGTATTACGACCAGTAGCTGGTTTTTATAAATCACGATTGATATACTTTTCGAGATTACAATCAATCGAAAATTAAAAATATATTCTTTTGGTTTAAGTCAATTGTCAGCTTAATCAGGTTATACAATTTAAGAAATTTTTACAATCATCATTATTGGTTCAAAATTATTTAGTAAACATCACACAAAATTTAACCTTTAGGCTACGCAAAGTTGATTTTTCGTTTTGCATTACCCGCCGACCAATTTTTTTCAATTTTTCAATTTTTTTTTTTTTTTTCG